ATGCAGTATCGCGTGGTGTCTGCCTCTAAGGTACCTCTAAGGAGTGCAGAAGGGCACCACAGAGGCCTAGTTGTATTAGGTTGGTTAGTGTTTTGTGGCAAACTCCACTCTGCTAAGAGAGGCTCGGAGGTGTGGAGATTGCTCCATGACATGAGTGGGGGGGGTTATGCTCTAATAAGTGCTTTTTGCCCTGAAATGAGTGGAGGATACATTCCCAAGGTCCTTTGCTGGGGCTGTTCTCAGCATCTCCCTATGTAATAGGAACATACTATGGTCTCCCATTTTGTACATGTGAGCAGCTGAGGAGCAGAGACATGCCTCAGGTCATGCAGAGGGACTGTGGTGCAGCAGGGATTTCAGTCCTTTTCTCCTGAACCCTGGGATAGTGCTGCACATTACAGGCCATTGGAGACCAAAAGCTAGACAAACTCCCAAGTGATGCTAACAGTTGGGGGTGGGTTCTTTTGGTAGGGGACCCCTTGTGCTGTTGGAGGTAGAAAGTGGTTGTGCTCATGGATAGTCCCTGGTCTCCCCAGAATGCCCTGCCTCTGCATCTAAACTGCATGGGTGACTAATATGTCTAAAGGGTGCCAGTGTTTGGTGTTAGGCCTCCCAGTTGACTGTCTGCAGTGTTCAGGTACCTTTGGTACACTGGATGAAACGTGCAAGCATGTCTGCAGTGTCTGAAGCTGTGCTGCAGCGTGCCTGTCCTGAGAGTTTGGTGCCTCTTAGAGGCTCCTGTCAGCTGCATTTCTGACTGTCCTCCCCCCCACCCCTCTCTCTCTTGTAGCACGATGGGAAGCCCTTTTGCCACAAGCCCTGCTATGCGACACTGTTTGGACCCAAAGGTATGTCTGCATTCCTGACCCTTCTTCTCTTTGGCTTCCTTCCTCAGGGTTTTTATTTCCTGCACTTCCAGGGCTGCAGCCCTCCATTGAATTATTCATCGGCCTTGTCTCCTCCTGTCTTGGCTGACAGGAGGGTGTTTAGGATGCTGAAAACGGCCCAAGAATAGGATAGCACAGGCTAAAGCTGTGTCAGGATTTTTCTTTAGGAAACCCAGAATGCCTCCAAGTCAGTGTTTCTGTTTCTTGGGCCCCCAAGCCATGCACAGTGTGGCTCAAGATCAGCAGTAAGTTTTAATGGGACGTGTTCTTTGCAGACCTGGATGTGAGATAGTGCGGAAACCTCCTGTCAAAAGAGTGGAGGAATGAAGTCATGACAGTTCTCTGCTAACTAATTCCCCTACAAGCTGCAGGGAGGGTTACTGCCTCCAACTATGTCTACTCCCAGCAGATAAAATGGTCCCAAGGTAAAAACAGCGTGGGAGGCAGATAACCTTGGCTCATACATGGGAGAAGGGTTTTGAGGCTGCTGTTTATGCATTTCAGGCCTGCCTAGCTGTGTGTCTTCAAAAGGTCCAATTTGAGTAAGTGTCATCCCTGAGCAAGCCGGACATAGGTGTGCTGAAGAGATAGGCAGTGCGGCCTTTGCAGCTGGTTGTGCCCAGTTGGCTTTGGCCTAGTGGGAGGCTTAGAGCCTGGAAGGGTGTCTGGGATATGACCTCTATAAATGCTGCTGCTCTTGTTGCAGGTGTGAACATTGGTGGAGCTGGGTCCTACATCTATGAAAAGCCTCAGATTGAAGGGCAGACGGCTCCAGGGCCCATTGAGCATGTTTCAAAGGTGGAAGAGAAGAAGGTCAGCGCCCCACCCAAAGGACCTAGCAAAGGTTGGTGCCAAAGGGGGTCACCCCACTGCCATAAATTGAATGCTGCAGGTTGACCAGGGAGCTCCAGTAAGGGAGGAGAGTATTAGGGGTGATTGGTGATTTGGGGATTGCAAAATGAATGGACAGGTGAGGTAAGGGCAGACTGGACAAGAATGGTAGCTAAGACTTTGACTGAGTTGGCTGTGCTGTGGCTCCCTACAGATGCTGCTGCGGTCTGTGCTTGGAGCCTGTGGGGGACTGTGACTTGACCTGTACAGTGATATAATGGGCCTTAGCATTTGGGCCCAGTGCACTGTTGGCGTTCTTGGCTGTCAGAACTGTGTCTCTGCTAGTATGGCCCCCTGGGCTCTGGCTGCCTCACAGGATTCAATGATTTTGTGATCTGGGCCAACTCTAGCCCTCTGGCTCCAGTGCATCCTTGTGGGCTTTGCTGAACTGGTATGTGGGCTCTTACAGGATTGCCCTGGATTCACATTAGTCTCATTTCTGATACAGTGCTCTCTGCTGCCCCACAGCTGCTGGCTCCTTTCCTGGTATGCACTGCTTGGGGAGCCCTTGACAGGCACGGTGGAACAGCGCCACGGGGAGACTATTGGAACTATTGCAGCTTGTCCAGAAATCAGCTCAGAGAGGGTACCGGTGGGATTGAATTGGCTCTTAAGCCTGCCAAGAGTTCATCTACCCCAGGTGGATGCTTAGGATACTCGTAAAATGTGTGGACCCTAAAGTGCTTTGTTGGTAGCCAAGGCCTCGCTTTTGGAGCAGTAAAGTTCCCCACTGGGTTTACTTATTCATCAGCTTGCAGCTCTCTTGACAGCTCTGGGTTCTCAAGTGTGTGCTTGTGTTCATCCCCAGCCCTTCGAGTCCTCATGGGGTGAATGTTCTCTCAGATAATCTCTGGTTTTGAGGAGCTGGGCTGTTGCAGCAAAAATAACGGCTGTTATAACTCAGGTCCTGTGTTCAGGTGTGGATGTACATGCATACGTACATGTGTACATTCACTCTGGAGTAGCTGATGTCTGAAGGGGCATAAGTCCCACATCAGTTTTAGCTCATTGTGTCAGCTACAGATGGGAGTAGTCTGTGCTTTGTTTCCCAGTGTGTTTGTTTTCCCTTGCACAAATGCTGTAGCACAGACAGATGCTCAAGTTGCAGAGGAAATTCTTGGAGGGGGTTCACCCCCCTGAACCTTACTACTACTTGCTTGTGGGGTGCTCTCCCTCCACATTTTTCACCAGCGCGTGCGTGCGCGCACACACACACACACACACACACACACACACACTCACTCTCTCTCTCTCTCTCTCTCTCTGCATCCTTGCTGGGTCTGTGCTCCTCCCCTCTGTATCCTCCCTCTGTTACTATGTTATGCATTGATCAGAGACTTGCATGGCAAGCTATCCTAGGAGAGGCTGAGGGATCTCGAACTCTTCAGCCTAAAAAAAAGATGACTGAGAGGAGACCTGATTGTGGCTTACCGCTATATCAGAGGCGCACATCAGGGGCTTGGTGAACAACTGTTCACCAGGGCACCCTGGGGGAAAAATAGAAACAATGGCCACAAACTCCTGGAAGATACTTTCAGGCTGAACATTAGGAAAAACTTTTTTCACAACTGGGGTGTCCAGACTGTGGAGCAAGCTTCCCCCAGAGATGGTGCAATCATCTACCCTAGAGGTCTTCAGCAGAAGACTGGATGGTCACCTGGCTGGGGTCACCTGACCTCAGATGATTTCCTGCTCCTGCAGGGGTCTGGACCCCGGTGACGCTTTGGGATCCCTTCCAGCCCTGTGATTCTATGATTCATGGAATTGATTTTCGAATCCCCGCCCAACTGGGATCTGCTGAGCTACTGCAGGGACCACGATGGGTTGTTGCTTTTTCAGTGATAGCTTATCAGTGAGGAATGCTGGCTCCTGCTTCAGTGACAAACAACACTTGTTTGAGACGGCAGGGCAGGAGGGAGGATACTATTTCTTATACGGCTTGAAGAGACCAGCCCTAGTTTCTAGTGGTGGGCTTTAGCCTGTTGATTCTGCAGTGGATGGAAACCTTTGGCTCAGGCACTGAGTAGAGCCCTCTGCCATCATGAGGTGCCAGAATGACTGGCCAGTGCTGTCAGAAAAGCCAGATGGCCCCGGTACCATCAGGGGGAGCATTTGTTCTAATTTTGTCAGGGTTTCAAACTGTTTTCTTTTTGTTCCAGCCTCCAGTGTCACCACCTTCACTGGAGAGCCCAACATGTGCCCACGCTGCGGGAAGAGAGTCTACTTTGGTAAGCCCTGTTAACGCCCTGGTGGTGGTTTCTTTCCTATGAGCTCCCAGCACCGGGCAGGGCCCATGGGGTCAGTGCTGTACACAGACATGAAAAGAGAGAGTTCCTGCCTCAAAGAGCATGAAATCCTAAATGGAAATGGCTGCTGGGAAGCAGCAGCCCCCAGAGATTAAATGATGTGCCCAGGGTCATGTTGAGTGTCTGTAGCAGAGTCAACAGTGGAACCCAGGCTGCTGGGCTGAGATCTGGGAGCCCTAATCACAAGGTCGTGCTTCCATCGTGGGGAGATGTTGGTTGCTAAAGGGGGGATCTGGAGGATATGACCACATGAGGGGACAGGAGCTGCTTCAAGAGGCTTTCAGGCAACCTCAGGCAGGTTGCTGCCCCTCTGTTTGTCCTCCCATTTTGTTTGGCAAGTGCTCTGCACAATGCTTAGCAGGGACCTCTCATAATACCGACAGTCCCTTGTACTGCTGTGCAGTGACAGCCCCCCATTTACCTTGCTCTACCTTTGCTAGTCAGTAATTCTGCACCTCCCCAGAGGTGCAGGGGAGCTAGCACTGGGGAATGCGTGACTCGGACAGACTTAAGCCAAGGCAGGCATTGAAGAGCTCCCTCTGATTGTGTTGCTTTTGTCTCCACTCCAGCTGAGAAGGTAACTTCGCTGGGGAAGGACTGGCACCGGCCCTGCTTGCGCTGTGAACGCTGCAGTAAGACTCTAACCCCTGGGGGCCATGCTGAGGTGAGGACTGGGGACGTGTCCTGACCTGACTGACTGCCTGGCATTTATTTTCTCCCTCTCAAGCAGGCATTCCCCTTCCCCAGGCATGTGTACAAGTAGGTGTTCCTTGGGTGAGCCCATTAAGGGCAGTGAAGGACTGAATGCAACTTCTAAAATATAAAATCCCCTCCGAAGGAGCCTTTCATGCTTCTGCTCTGCTCTTCGCCTTGAATGCCACTCTGTGAAGCAAAGAAGGTGTTTCGTCTGGGGGAAGTGGTATCTGTAGTTGGGCTGCACCCAGCAGGAGACCTTATTTGACCTGCTTGATGATGAATCCATTGATGGTGCAGATCACCTGGACAGGGGAGTATGGCAGGCTGTGTATGGCAGGCTGGGGCTTGCTGAGGGGAACCAGGAGTTGGTTTCTACTTGGGACCTGGGTTCTTGTGCTCCTGACCAGCATTACATCTTCCGCTTCCACCTCAGGGGGGCTTGTAACCAGAACTCTGTATGTGATGCCCTGTGCCAGGTATTTACTAAGTAGAGGCTGCGTTCTGACAGTATTGGGTTCCCACTTTGCTCTTAGCACGGCCCATGCATCCCCAAAGCTAACGTGATGTGGCCAAAACCCATGTGAGAGAGCAGAGGTGTGAGCAATCCTGGGCCCTCATTGTCCAGCAAGACTTTTTCTGGCCATTCCTTCCCCCTGGGTGCTGGAGCTATGGGAGAGGGCTAGACACCAAACTCCCCTTCTCCAGATGTTGGTGCAGGCTCCTTCCTCTCCACTGAGGTGCTCTTGCACTGTGTGGTCCAAGGTACACCAAACACTCAATTGGGCATTGGCCTCTTTCTAGAGGGGAGCACACACCGAGGCAGTGCTCCTGACTCCACCGCATTGAAATAGGCACAGAGGGCTCATCCTGTGCTGTCCAGTGCTTGGGTCCTTGCAGGCTGCCTGCTGCCTGAAGTGGGGCCATGATTAGAGCTCCTCTGTAGCTAGGTCACTGGCTGTAGAAATGGGCAAGCAGTGCTGAACACAGTCCCAAGGCTTTCCTACCTATGTAGCCTTAGCCAGTATTCTCATTCCACTGCCCACTGCCCCCGCATTTCATGACTTAGGCACCTATTCCTACTGCTCACGGGCTTGTTCAGCAACTCCAGACTTGCCCACCAGAGGTCAGAGCAGATTTGAAATGAGAAACTAGTGCTGGTGATGGAGGAAACCTCTGCTGTGGGAAGGCTGGGATGGGAGGGAAAAGCCTGTGATCGGCTATTCTGCTACTCCCAGCACAGTGTTAAGTGGGGTGGGTGAGTGCCACTATGAGCAGCTGCCACTACTGGGGGTTGGAGTGGTGCTGGCATAGGGAGAAAGAAGGCTAGGACTGAGCTGGGGTGGAAGCGTTTTTCTGCCTGCTTCTGTCCCACAGCTCTGTGTGCCCTTTGGCATGCACAGGGGAAGCACTAGACAGCTTCCAGGTCAAGCAGCATTCTCTTCCCCAGGCACCAGTGCAGGTGGCACAGGACTCATAGTTTCTAGGGTCGGAAGGGACCTGAGCAGATCAT